CCCTACAGACTACTTCTTATGTAGTCTGAGTCTTGCAGTTATTTAAATTTTAATTGTATTATACAGGAACCCTGCTGATGTAGTAAGATGTGGGTTGGAGGAATAATTCTTTAATTCTATGATTAGGTCTCAGTGATTTAGTGGTCTATGACCCTTGACTATGACCTTCAGTGCTTTTCAGCTCACCTTGTTCTTAGGTGACACAAGAACTATGGAGGGAGCCGGAAGGGGGGATTTCCCTTCCCTGACTTTCATTAGGCTCTTAGTGATAAAAACCCATGTTGGTTAAGTACTGGTAAAACGGATTTCCTTGAGGGCAGACCTTCATTAAAGAGAAAAGAAAGCTCTGGGCATATTTTAAATGGTTATCTCCTGGCTCACCAGCACCATCATCCCCAACCTTTCCAGAACATGTAGATTTTTCTCCAATTTTCACCTTGAGAACCTGGTGAACAACTGATGGTAGAACTTATGAAAACATGGGGGGCCTTCCTAAGGCTGAGACGTCAGGAGTTTTCATATCTCAAGCTATCTTTGCTCAGTCTCCAGCAAATAGTCAATTACCCTTTAATTATTTCCTACCAGTTGCTGGCTACAGCAGTGATTTCTTAGTCATAGTAAACTGTCATTCTTTATATTCATCTGTCTCTCCAGTTTTGAGAGATGCAGTATGCCTTGAGTACTTAATTCTCTGAGGGATCAAAAAACAATAGTTGATTTTGTTTTTTGTTGTTGTTTTTTTGTTTTAAGGATAGGAGTGATGACTTCCAAGTTCTTTACCTGCTGGACTGGGAACCACAACTCTCTCCTCCCCATTTTATTTTCTTAATGGTGGGTGTTTTTTTTTTTTTTTTTTAAATGTATTTCTTTTTAAAAAAGGAATATTTTAATTGATTTCAGAGAGGAAAGAAGAGAAAAGATAGAAACATAAATGATGAGAGAGAATCATTGATCAGCTGCCTCCTGCATGCTCCATGCTGGGGATTGAACCTGCCACCTGGGAATATGCCCTGATTGGAATCAAACCATGACATCCTGGTTCATGTGTTGATGCTCAACCACTGGCCAGGCCTAATGGTGTTGTTTTTATTAGTATTAATTTTAATGAAGTCTAATTTACAGAATACAAATAACCCCAATTCACTATTAAACATTTTAAAAGTGTGAATTTGAACTAAATAATTCAGGGATAACCATACATGAAAAGATATGAGGGAGCATATTTAGTATGTGGCACACTACTTTTTTTATATGTAGCTCTAATTTTGAGAGAAGTGGTAAGTAAGAAGCTTGTGTTTCAGGATCTGAAAGACCTGGGTTTAAAGTTCTACTTCATACTTACCAGTTGTTTAACCTTAGACCAGTCAACTTCTCTGCTAGAGTACACATGATGCTAGCTATTATATTACAGTATAAATATAGAAATTCCCTAAGAGAAAAATTCATAAAGTAGTATTTCTGAGAAGCTAAGCAATTTTTGAAATAAATTAACACAATTATTTTGGTATCTTCTGGTAGATTCCAAGTAAAATAAATTTGCATGCCAATATTAATATACTTTGTCACTTTCTTTAATATGAATTATTATATTAGTAATATAAAAAAGTAAAAGTATTAATGGAAGTCCTTACCATGGAAAGGTATTCATTCGTACCCTGTTCTTATAAATCAGAATTCCTCCTGACATCACTCCAATCATAATTTCATTGTTACTTTGATCCTTCAAAAAAGAAAATGACATATCTAAAATACTGGGATTTATCTGTTAAAAATGTATTTTAAAGACAGGCTTAGTTTTTTTTTATACAATGAGACATTTTCAAAGGCACCACATCCTATATAATAAACCTAATATGCAAATCAACAAAACGGCAGAACGACCAGTTGCTATGACACGCACTGACCACCAGGGGGAAGACGCTCAATGCAGGAGCTGCCCCCTGGTGGTCAGTACACTCCCACTGGGTAGGGCTGCTCAGCCAGAAGTCGGGCTCATGGCTGGCAAGTGCAGTGGCAGTGGCGGGAGCCTCTCCCGCCCCCAAAGCAGTGCTAAAACACAGCAAGCCAATCCCGCCTCTGACAGTCGGACATGCCCTGAGGGGTCCCAGACTGCTAGAGGGCGCAGGCCAGGTTGAGGGATCCCCCACCCCTGTGTGCACGAATGTTGTGCACCAGGCCTCTAGTAATTGCATATTTACAAATCCATATGGTAATTCTTACCGCATAAAAATAAATGACATATTTCAAATTAAACTTAAATATTGCATTATTAAAAGTCATTATGATCTAAAGACTCCGCATAGTTTATAATTTATTTGGGATAGGAAATTAGAATGATGAGTTAGTATCATCCTTCCATTCCTAAAATTCTTATGTTCTAATCACAAACCCAAACAGAAAGCCAAAATGAGGAGACAAATATAATGCTCTGATTGCAAAAAGTGAAAAAAAATAATGGAGGACTTTAGAGTTTGGTGAATAAAACAGTATTTTTAATATAAGAAAACTCCTATAATTAGTATAATACAATAAAATACATCATAAAATTATAGAGTGAGGAACAATTAATTGTTTTGAGAGTTTGGAAGACTCCAAAGAAAACTGAATTGCGCTTTGAGGATTGAGTAAGAGTTTTCATGCTAACCGATTGAACTTGAACCTACACTATGAGAATGAATTGCATTAAACTACTTTTTTTCAGATGCTAATCAACCTTGAAATAGTTTTGCTTTTTGACTTGAAGCATTCCATAGATAAACTAAGATAGCAATAATGCTTTTACCTCCTTCTATTCATTTGCTCAAAAAGAATTGCTGAAAATATAAGATTTTATAATTGTCTCCCTAAGAAAACAAAAATATTTAAAATGTACTTACAATAATTTCAAATTAAATAAAACCATATTAAATTAACTCATTAGATAGGATAATACATAAAGAGGTCAAACACAACAGTGTATGCTAATTTGTCTGGATGCTCATTTTGTTTATCAATAACCAAAACCACTGTACATTATTATCAGAACCTTAAATAATTTTTTAAAGGACATCAATTAGAAGTCAGGACCAAAATAGCAGACCGATCCGAACAGATGGCGGACTTAATATATGCTCCTATTACTTCTTCAGCTCCCCATCGGAGAACATCAGAGAAGATACATGAAAAGGAAAAGAATCTGTAAAACTTGAAAACAACCCATAACACCCAAAGGTATATAATCAAGGCACCAGATATTTTGAGGGAACTGTAAAGACATAAACACGATACAATCAGAATACAGAAAACCACAGCTCAAACTACACACGTAAGAGCAAGTTCTATGTGGAGGTGGAAAGAGAAGCAAATTTAAAAGATTAAGTACAGAGATTAAAAATGGCAGCAGAGTAAGTGGATGCTGCACAGATATGCTCCAAGGAACAAACTGGAATTACAACTAAATTACAGAAAAACTTCCTGAATAATCAGTGGAAGACTTGCTGGAGAGAACCCTGATACCTGAGGACCAAAAGTGGAGAACGCATAGAAACTGGTAGGAGTGGCAGAATGGGAGCCCACAGAACATCTGGCTGTGAAAAGCAGCAGGATTGCTGTCTGACAGCGAGAGATAGCTGGAAATTCAGGCACCCTCTTCAAGGGTCATGTACAAAATTTCATGTGCAGCCACTCATCCTGGGCTCCAGCAGAGGGAGGGCAGAGTGGACTGAAGCTGTGTGAACAGAAGCCAGGATCCGGGGCTCAGGAGTTAGAGCTCAGAAGGCAGACACTCTGGTTTCCCGTGCTGAGTCATTCCCGTATGCTGTGGAGGTCATATTTCTCACGCAGGCATTAGGTATACAGGCGACCTTGCCTGTTGGGGAAGACAGCTGATCCACCCCATTGAAAAAACCTTGCCCCACAGTGCAGAATTGCTGAGGCCCAATTAAGAGGCTGAGAATAACAATTAGCTTCCAGGCAGAAGCAACTGCCAAACATTGTTGACAAAAAACTCTTGCCACACCCATGGATGATTGATTGAGGACAATTTAAGACAGAATCATATAAGTTTGTAAATAGATACGGTCTCTGGAGGCTTACAGTCTTTGCCTGACCTAATCAGTCAGAAACAGCATTTGACACTGTCCTGCATTAGAGATTGAGAGGCGTACCACATCAATCTAATAGGTAGTAACAAACCCAAACAGAAAGCCAAGATGAGGAGACAAAGAAACAACCCCCAAATGAAAGAACAAGAGAATTCTCCAAAAGAAGAGATAAATGAAATGGAGATCAGAAATTTATCAGATAAAGAGTTCAGAGTAAGGATGGTAAAGATGCTCAAGAGCATGAGATAAGATATAGTAACTATGAAAGCAAATAAAGAACAACATAGCACAAATAAAGAAGACATTGGAAGACACAGCTGATTAGGGGAAGCTGAGGATTGAATCAGTGAATTAGAAGATGAGGTTGAAAAATCACTCAATCAGAGAACCAAAAAGAAAAAAACAATTGAAAAACAGGAGGACAATTTAAGAGAGCTGTGGGACAAGATGAAATGTAACAATATTCGAATAGCAGGTATGCCAGAATAGGCAAAAAGGGAGAAGGGATAGAAAACTTCCCTAACCTGGTAAAGAAAAAGTCACACAAGTTCAGGAGGCACAGAGAACCCCAAGCAAGAAAAACCCAAATAGGTCCATGCCCAGACACATAATTAAATTGCCAAAAATTAAAGTCAAAGAAAGAATCTTAAAGGCAGCAAGAGAAAAGCAAACTCTTACCTACAAAGGAGCTCCCATAAGGCTGACACCTGATTTCTCATCAGGAACTCTACAGGCCAGAAGGGAATAGCATGAAGTACTCAAGGTAATGGAAAGCAAGGATCTAAAACCAAGATTACTATTATCCATCAAGGCTACCATTCAAAATAGACAGCCAAATAAAGAGCATCTTGGACACAAAAAGGCTAACGGCATACATCACCACCAAGCCAACATTACAACAAATGCTAAAGGGAATGCTGTAATGAGGAGAAGAAGAAATAGAGAGAGAAACCTAGGCATACAGAATTAAACAGAATTAAAATGGCAATAAATAAGTACCTATCAATAATAACCTTAAACCTAAATGGACTAAATTCTCCAAAAGGCAGAGGGTAGCTGAATGGATACAAAAACATGACCCAACTATATGCTGTCTACAAGAGACCCACG